AACATATCAAAGCAAAACACGAGTAAAGGACATGTGACAATCACTATATGGACAGATTCCAAGATGTTGGGTTGAATTAACAAGCTATCAAATGATTCAGGCTTTATTGAAGTGTGGCGTTCCTGCATCATATTATACGACGTTCAGAAGTTCTGTTTTCTGCTCACACTGCTAGCTGAAATGGCTAATATCTTTTTCTCGTGCATAGTAAGCTTGGTATTTTAGACTGCTCGTTGTTCCAAAAGTTTAGTACCTCAGTTGGAGGACAGGGTGATGATACCACGGACAGATAACCTTAAAGCTCATCTTGCATGTTCATCGCAAGTATTCCGCTACAGCATCGACATTTTGGGCTTGACACGGCCAATGCACGTGACTCAATACGCTCAATAAAAAAAAGAAACTAAGCAGTCCGGGCCTGGTCAGGCCCGAGAGGAGATTAGAATACGTCAGCCTACCTGAACCCAGCATCGTGCCGGGCCACGTTTAGACTTTCGGGATACCCTCGGAACCTGTGCCGATCTCCACCTTGACTCACCACCGATCAACATGCGCGAATTGATGCTTCGCTTGCGTTTTCATTTTTTTTTCACCGGCCATGTAGTTTTCCGAATGAGAAAGGACTTTCAAGTCCGCGTGTGCCCTCTGAATCTGGGTGCGGCACGTTTTAGTGCACAAGCTGGATGGAAAACGGCTTCGTGCTGCTAACCCAATACCACGAGAAGAATATTGTCATAGGTAGAAGAAGTGAATTCGCAATACTAGCCGTAAGGGCTTCATTCCATAAGAGTAAACTGTGATATCGAGGGTACAGTTCACTTATTTGTACTTAGACGACTTTGATGACTACAATTGAAGCTTGTCGCAAGTTCAAGCGAGTGCGAATAACCTTGTCTATCTCCCTTATCACTTTCCGTCGTATTGTACGTTATGTTTTTTTAATTTGAATGTGTTACATAGTGCGTATAATAGTAAAGATTGCTGCTGCGTGAAACTCCTATAAATATAGTTGAAAGTTTTGTTGAAGCGCACTAAAAAAACAGGCGGACAGAAGAGGCTAACAAGGATAACTGGCCCAGCTTGCCATCTTGCTGCAATATATTCCACATAAGCATTTGCGTAGCACTACACTATCCTGGTTAAGAAAGAACTTGTTGCTAGGTGAGCTGGTGAGGACATACCGCTTGATATTTTCGTTAAGGAATACGAACACATGACACAAGACAGGTCACGTACTGTCTTCTGTCATTTTTCTTTCTTTCTTAACTCAAGAATCAAGGCGCTATGATTGCCTTGCTTTCACTGGCTGTTGGTTTCTTTCGCAGGTGATCTGAGTATTATACCTTGAAATATATTTCTAAAAAACTTTACAGGTTCATGATCTAGGTAATTTGGTAAGGGATGAGAATGATGTCTTTTCAGCCATCAATCAGGACATCACTACGTTCGTTCTGATCAAACTTTTCAGCACTGAATATTCGTTAAGCACCAGTATCTCAAGGCCTCATGAAGTACTATCGATGAACTAGCCCAGATATTTCATCTGAATAGTGTATTATTCCCATAGCTGAATCTGTCCGTGGGCGTCAATGATCACCTAGATATGTCAAGCCATATGATTGGCCCACGCCACTTCTGCAAACGGTCCCTAAAATTGTTTTTCCTCAATATCGTGGGAAAAAATATTTGTTTTGAAGCTGTCATCTTTTTTTATTCATCAACGAGCAAAGCAGTTCCATGAAAATCACTCCTTGGAAAAAGAAAACTATACTGAATATATAGCTACTGGGGGCAACCGTTATGAATCAGAACACTTATGCAAAAATGTTGCAAAAAACAAAATCGCCATTTAGCATAACGCAGGAGGGCTCAAGAATATTGAGCAGTGCACAAATAAAAAGCCTAAATATTCTATTATTACAACCGGTATTAAAATGTCTAAGCCTATGAGTACTATAGGAGTAATCAGTTTCTGTTTTTGCGGTAAGCGTTCAGACCTAACGCTTTTATTGCACAAACTTGAACATGATAATTGGGGCTTATGAAAAGGTCAAGCATGTCGCACTTTTTTTGAAAAACAAAAAATAAGACGCCTTGCACGTAGGTGCTCTTGCAGACGCGAGCTAGCGCGTAGGACCAGCACCCACACGGTGAAAGTAAAATAAAAATTGAGTCCCACATTCACCGTCATGGCTACGAGTGGCACAAACCAACACTTCAACGTCTAAAATAGACAAATATAGTCGATAAAGTGGATGTTAGCGCAGCCACCGCAGTAGCTGAAGAGCACGGAATGCGTCAATCGAAGTTTGCAGATTCCGTCCCCATTGGTGGCAAAGTTGCACTTTCGTTCACTTCAATTTTTCTATTTACAAATGACGTCACCTATATATACTTTTCTTGGGTTGATTGTGTGTTGGTTTTGATTCTCTAATTTACATTAGCAAATTAAAAAATATAACGGATAGAACGAAAACCATTTAAGGTGACTCTTTCACAGATGGAAGTGTAGGCTTGACAGCGCTTAGGTGGCGTAGCATGTATTCTTAGGTTGTGACCGAACAAATTTGCTTCAACCTATGGAGAAATTTGAAAATGTTTCAGTAGAAGCTATCGTAACACATTACGCGTAAAATTGAATCAGCGATGTTTTCAAGTACTGCCCGCTTTATTATAATGTGGCTACCCAAATTATAAGATACGAGACCGTTCTCCTCGGTGAGAGTAACCCATCGCTAACAGTACTATAGTAAGTATACCTCCTATGAAATTTGCCTAGGGGCCCCTGAAAGGAGGCACACGTTGAACGTACTTTTCCCAACAAATTACAACCGTGTAAGGCGTGTGAGGGAAATACTGCTTTTCTTTTGCTACGCACTGACGTTTTATCTTCGCAGTGTGTATTCTCCCAGCAACCGGGACAATTGTTCAAAAAAATTTCTCCCGGCGGTCGCCTCCCATTGGCTCTCATATGTCACGTGACTAACTGCCGCGAGAAGAAGAAAAACTGGCTGCTGCGGGACAGACTGGGCATACGTAGCCTAGCATGCGTTAGGTTATGTTAGGCTGCGGGACAGACTAGACAGACGTCGCCCAGCGTGCTTTGGGTTAGGTTAGGTTACGTTAGGTTACGTTGAATAGGTTAGGTTAAGTTCTAATGGTTGCCAGGAAAATTATACAAAAGTTTGTCTCGGCAGTTAGTCACGTGACTTATGAGAGCCAATAGAAGGCGACTGCCGGGAGAATTTTTTTTATCAATTATCCCGGTTGTCGAGAGAATAGACACACCCTTTTATCTTGCCATTGGAGAATGGTTGGTTTCGTTTCCGAGGAAAGTATTCCACTCCAGCACTTTTTTTTATTCTCCCATGCACCCTTTTCGAACTCCTGCTTGCTTCAAGATAATTCTTTAGATCTGCGATATGCTGCCATGCGAAGAAAACTATCGGGGTCACTTACGAGGGTGTGGCTTGTGTACCACTAGCGGCGGTGCACCGTAGAAGTCATCGTCCCAGCGCCGATGACCGATTCCCAGGGCAGAGTAGAGCCACGGCTGCTGGTAGACGCGAAAGTAGATCGCGGTGCCCAACGCTGCGATGGCAATCAGCCACAGGACCATTTCGACAGCCGTGCGACCGTTCCTTCTTTTCGCTGACGGTTGCCACTGCGATGCTGATGCTTATGTTGGTGAGGCTGTCGTTGAGGTGTTTTCCATTAGTGCCTCATACCCACAACGGAAAAAAAATGTTCGTGGTTTAATGGGCCCATAACCCATTCAGATGCGACCTATGAAAAACTGTCTATTGATGCTGAAAAGTGCCAATTTATTTAAGGGCTCGTTTTTTTTTGTTAGACGCAATAATATTGAGAACTAGCAAAGAGAATATTAATGTGGTCTCTCCTACCGGAGTATTCGTTTCTTGGCCGATCCTCCAGAGTGGGTGTGAGCTATACATAGAGGCAATTGTCATCATCATCACTACCAGCAAGATCCGAACCGTGTCTGTCGGTTCTCATTCTTATTGTGTATAACTGAGTCAAGGTTAAAATAATTCGAGGCCCTCAATATTCTAATAAAACCAGCATATTGTCCTAATATGTTGATCCGTGCGTTTTCTAGCAAATAATCGCCAATGTATTTTGAATTCATTCGTCTCGTGTTTTTTAACAAATAGAACCGAATTTCAGGCGCGCAACATTGTCCAGCTTATGCTTCATTTATACTCAAGGCAAACCTCCCAAAAAATGTCCTTTTGTCATGGCTTGTGGACAACAACACGTCGAACGACCCATCGTACCACGGTAATGAGGGGGTGGACGTGAAGCTCCCGGGTGCTCAATAGCACGCCCTCATATCACTTTGGGGAGCATCGACGTCTTGGCTGGCCTTTGATTTTCACCAGAACGATTCTGTTGTAGTTACTGGGCACACAAAGAACTCTGCAATCGTTCCACAGTCCCTGTTTGCGAGACGAGTGCGCTTTTCAGACAAAGCAAAGAACAACTGACACGCCTATTCACGTTCATCGGTACCTGTGAGTACGTTTCGTGCGTTACTTGTGCGTGAGATATGCGGGCACTTTCGATCTGCTTTCCATTCTGCGCATGGCCTTTCAAATTGTTACTATCGCGTTCATTGCTTCGCCTTTGTGGCAAATCTGACTTTTTTTTTGCCAATTGATAATCACTTGCTCCTCCCACAATGTCCGCTTGTTGCAACGTACAGTTCGTCCGACGTTGTCAGCAGCCACGTGACATGCACGGGCATGTCCGCTCGTACGAGTTCACGTAACAAAACGCTCTAATAAGTAGCTCAAGCTTTCACACCCTCACAAATGCAATGACACCGCTATGAAACCCTAGCGGTCCTCGGGAATGACACAGCGTACCATCGCGTGACAATAGGGTGGAGAGGCAGTTGCCAGGAAGATATGAGCTGCTGGTTGCCGAAGTGACTTGATATATTAGGCCGAGTGGAAACGGCCACTGCCCACAGCTAAAGCCGTGTTCGGTTCAGTTTAGCCCCAGCTGACCGAAGCTGCCGCCATGCCACACCCTGATACAAAGGGGATGCACATGCTCAGCGGCCATCATGTCACCGGAGTGAACTGGCGGCCCATTCGATTCACGAAAGACCTGCCGCCATCGCTCGTCTGTTGCCTGTGCCGAGTGGTTCCCGAAACGACGGCGATGCTGCCGTGCTCGCACGCTCTGTGCGAATCCTGCCGCAGAGCACGACGTCGAGATGGCCACGACACGTGTCCCTTGGATCGGAAGCCATACAGCACCCATACGGTATTCTACGCTGCCGACCAAGCAAGCAGCATCAAGGTAATCGCCTTTCTTGGCACATTACACTGAGTTGGGAGAAACGCTATGACTATGTCTGATGCTCAACCAGCTGAGCTACGACTACTGGTGCTTTCCTGCCCACTTCGATAAATATTCAGTACGTACAGTACTCGCGGATTTCGATAGGGCACTCGGAACGCGTGGCCGCCTGTGCAGGTACCGCAGGTCGTGGGTGCTCGTGGAAGCAAGGTGTTGCATTGTGGTATAAAGTGAGGAGAAGACATCTACGGATCAGGATTTCCGCTTCCGGTCACCGAGTCAGCCTAGAGTTCACCTGCACAGTGTTGATTGTTATGAAAGGGAACACGGGAGCGCGTGGCCTACGCGCTCCGGCACCCGCTGGCAGCGCGCTCAAGCGGGAGCGACAGCAACAAAAGTATATTTTCGCGTCATCTTGCGGTGAACAAAAAAAAAACAAGCAGTCGTTAATAAGGTTGCACCACCTTCCCCCTGCAAGGGGATTACGCAAGGGCCGGCAATCGTTTTGAAGGAAGAAAGGTTTGCAATCTTGCCAGCGGTTCCATATTACCAATGACTGCTTTTTCGCTCGCCGCGATATGGTGCGAAAAGACACTGTACACACTGCCAGCGTAGCGCTGCTAGGCTGGTGCACTTTCGCATGCTGACCGATATGGCTGACCGATAATGCGGCGCGAGTGGACGACGCTTGCGCTCTGTGCCTTTCTGCAATGCGGTGCGCATGCTCTGTAGTAATGATCCAGCTGAGTGATTGAGCTTACGAGCGTTCGTACACATGACAACACCAGCACAAAATTATCGAAAGTTCATTTTCGGATTTTTGTCATGACAAGAAAAGCACTCGCAGGCCTGTCTTCGTGCAACATTAAAACAATGTCTTGAAATTTTGTTGTATAAACCTGTGCAGCCACTTCTGCCGCCATTTTGCGTGTCAAACTTTCGTAGAGGCTATCGGCCACAGAAGAATGCGTCAGCTTCCGTCGTTCTTCCTCAATGGCAGCCTATAGAGGTTGTCAGAAGTACACTAATGCTAATACATTGTTTCAATGTTACACGAAGACAAACCTGTGACTGGATTCTTTTTTTTTTTTGTCGTGAGAGAAAGCGTGAAATAAACTCGCTACGCTTTTGTGCAGAAGTTTGTGTTTATCATGTCTGCGAACGCGCGCAACACGCAATTGCTTAGTCGAATCGTGTTTCTTACTTGCAAAGCACACATGCCGCATAATCGAAATCCGCAAAACAAGGCCATCGTCTTCTCACGCCACACGATCAGTAGTGGGCACCGGTCAGCCATTTCAGTCTACATGCGAAAGCGCACCAGCCTAGCAGCGATGATGATAATCCTTTAATCAATGGCACCTCCCCCAGAGTGGGTAGGTGCGAATGATCGAACGAGCATCATCATCATCAACGCCAGCTGGCAGTGTGCACATGGTAAACTACATGATCTAAGTATACTACGTCCTAGAAAACACGGACGGGAAACGAACAAGTACGAGCGCCGACTATCAACTGGAGATTTATCTATCCCGCACTGCATTTATACATGACAACCAAGAAAAAAAAACAGGAAAGTTGGCATTTCATCAAGCGACAAACGTCATACACTCGAAGCACGAGGCAGAATATCAGATTCACTACACAGATGCGCCATTTACAAGATAATGAAGCTCTTTGTTCAGCAGGGCAACCGATGGTTTGCTCACGCAGTTTTCAGGTTCCCGAGCCATTCTCTCTGCTTCAATAATAATGTTTGTGTCACCATCTTTGTGCCAATGCAATGCAGCAGTTTTTTTTCAAACAGCGCATGACAACCACGTTTGCTGATATGCTGATCCAAGAAGCGCTCATTGAAGCACATCCCAGTCTGCCCGATGTAGCACGCACATGATAGCGGAATCCTCATACTACATTCATGGCACATTGGGCAAAATGGAATTTGTGCCTGACGTAGCAGGAGCGTTTAAGCTTAGTGTTTGCACATGTCACTTTGACAAGGTGGGAAAGTTTGTGAGGTTTTTTTCATTCGGTGTGATAGCTGGTCCATGTAAAGGAACACCGTAATTTCGTCGCGTTTGCTTTTTTCATCACTGCGATCAGCACTCTCTCCACTTCTGGGCTCTTTTTTTTTATATTTTCTGTCACGGAAACGAGAATTGAATCCAGATAGCCAGCTTCCTTTATATTATTCACTTGATTCCGGAAACTTGTGTGTAATGAATCAGATATTCTGCATCGGTGCTTCAGGTCACTTGTTTATCAGTTGTTCAAATTGCAACTTTCCTTTTTTTGTTATAAATAAATGCCGTGCGGGATAAATAAACCTTCAGTTAATAGGCTGCGCATGTACTTGTCCTTTTCCCGTCCATGTTTTCTACCACGTTTTATAATTGGGTAATGTATCACCAATGGCCGATTCGTCCACTTTGATTGGTTAACGTCAGGCCCACTTGTTTGTGACCAGAGGCGGCAATCTTGATCCGTAGATGTTCTCGCCCTCTCTACACCACTGTGCAACACCTTGCTTCCACCACACCGACGAGCTGCAATACCTGTCCAGGTGGCTTCGCTTGAGTACTGTACTCCGTGAGTACTGTACGTGTCATCCATACAAGTCGATGAGAATGGTGATTCGGGCTTGTTGACATGGTAGCATGACAAGTGATGGTAGCGCAGGCTAGGGGCAAGAATGAACGAAGACATATTCGATGCGATACAGAGGTGTCTTGAATGTCTTTTGAACTTGTCCTTAGCCTCCCATCTGCGTAAGTGTTTTGCCAGCGCCGCTCACAACCAAAGCGCCGAGTGTTGACAGGGAAGCGCCCAATGAAGTGTCTGGGGAAGCGACTTCCGTCGTCGCTCAATTGGTACAGAATTGGACATTGCATTCAGTTCAACTTACGTCACTAATTACACACTACAGTTAGACAGAATAATTCCCTATATGCTCTCTTTGGCACACTTGTATCGCATATTCGTTTTGTTGCTCATTTCACATCAAGTATGTTGTTATTCATTTAGCGTGTAGTTATATTCAGACATGTACCATAAAAACTCGTTAATTCACTTCCCGTTTATTCGAGGAAATCGAATGATGCAGACGTTTTTCTCTGGTCCCGGCAAGCAGATGCACTCTTTGATGGCACCGAAGTTTCGGTAATTTGGACACATTTGCTGACAACCCGGTTAATTCACACGATTCTTGGAGCGCTCCAGGCATGAAGCGACGCATACGTGGTAGATGAAGGAGGGAAAAATTTGCGAACCGAACCGGCGCATGCGAACTACATGGGCTCTATCCATGACCGCGTCGCTATCAACTAAGGTCATAGCTGCGGCGGGGTGCGACTACGGTTTCGTTCACAGCGGATGCAGCACTTGGTAGCTTTATTTTAACCTCGTGAAGTCTGTGCGCCAGTGCACATAACTCGAACGTTATGGAAGCTGTTCAAGAGATCACGCCGTGGATCGAACGATCAAATAAATATGCATAGTGATTGACAGGTTGATAAGATGCCGGCTGTATAAAAAACCCACAGCATGTCCACAGAGTGAATGGTGGTGAGTGGGGTGAGGCGTCTGTCTGTCCATTCATCTATCAACTATACAAAAACCGCTTACCGCCATCTAGTGACGTTTCAGGCACACATACACGCAGCGCCATCTATTGAGCAATTCATAAAGTGGACGTGGCTAAACATTGCGACTACTACAGAGAAGACGAGTTACTCTTAAGAGCTTCGACCCTAAAAATTATTCTTAAGCGCCATTGGTGTGTGGTAGTCGTGCAGTGTATGTGAAACCTCCCACATCACAACGCCTGACGGAGGAGCACCAGCTCGCTACTATCGGGGCGCTGCCGTCGCAATCGTGCCTGGGCACACGCTGCCGCCGAGTGTCTGCGTGCGATGAAGTGTGCATCCCTCTCCTTTTCTTGATCTCATTGATAAGAAAGTGAAGAATAAACCAGCTGCGTCATGTTTTCTCTTGGTCAGCTCTCTCATTTTTTTTTACTACTGTGGAGCATGGGGCGTGGCGGCAGCGTTTCGGCTAACTGAGGCATGAAGCTTGCGGCCTCAGTTAGATTCAGATCAAGTACATTATCACAGTTTTCAATTTTTCAGGGGGCGATATCTTGCGTTTAACATTTCATTGGCCCTGCGGTGGCTCTATCGGCTGTTTGCACGAGCTAACTCGCGTTTCGCTGCAGACTAACATGGTCGTACCCGAGATTAATGGATATGGTGTTACTTGGAGCATCCCAGTGGTATAAGCAGCGCTGCACAGCACTTCCCTATTCTAAGTGCAAAAAAGCAACATGATGCATTATGCTTGCTCCCGTTTCTTAAGAAGGAGAGAAAGAAACGTAAAGGTACGTAGTACAACCCCTTCCACTTGCACGCTTGACGGCAGTGGGAACCAAGGCATGGTTGCAACATTAGCGTTTCGATAGCAGCGAGCTGCTTCTCTTCGGTCGAGCGTTGCGGCAACGATGCTTTTTTACCAAGCCTGTACGTAATCAAGGATAGATTTATAGCACGGCTCTGCATTCGACACAAGGTTTTTAATATCGAGCATTTCATTTTTGTTTCGGGCAATTTCTGCCGGTCCCATGAAATTCAAGTTAATGAGAATTTACAATATTGCGCAACTTTTTTTGCTTGATACTTAATATTACTTACTAAGCGTATTTCACCGTAATGTCACAAGCAGCAGACGTTTTATACCGGACAGTCTTTCCCCTGCTCTTATTTAACACTTCGGTACATTCAAGACCACATGAGTCTGCACACATGTACTGGCTGATTATTCTGCATTTTTCCGATAGCAGATTATATTTTGACTGCACGAAGTATTACATGCATACATATTAACCTATTATTAACCATATTAACATATCTGTAATTTATACGACAACAAAATTTATACAGGTACAATACCTGTACAGAATACAGGTATAAAGTGTCAAAATCTGTTTCATGTCTGATGGGTCAAGTGGTGAGAACTGCACATTGTATATATCACATCAAAGGGTTTTTATTGGTGGATAAATTGTTGAGAAATGTTAGCAATATTCGATCAGCATTGATAGCTCATGAATAGTCGAATAAGTGGACGTTTTCTCTATGAAGATATGGAAGACTAGATCTACGGTTTCCATTTTTTATCAAATTTTACATCTTCCAGCTCAACAAAGCCATTCCCATTGCAAAGTCATCGCTCACCCCTCTGTACCATATTAACAACGGCCACAGGTCAAGTGGCATACGTGCATATCAGAGAGGGGTGTTTTCACGAGTCTTTCGTCAATTACATTACTTGAGATTTCAAACCCTGTCTATGGAACACATTGCTGTACTACGAGACTTTAGTGCAACGTGGGCTTCTACGTGGCGCTAGTGCGGTATAACGTTTTAGAAGGAAGTTTGCCTGAGGAGCTGTTATGATCGAGTTAAATCTGCGTAGTGATGAGGCTTGCAGAGAAGTCAAGGTAGGGGAGGGGACAAATTGATAGCGAGAGGGAAAGCACAGCATAAAAAGGCTGTAAAAGGGAAGCGAGGATGAGGGGAAGGAAAAAAGTAAGGCATTGTGAAGCAGTACAGTGTTAAGGCAAGACGAGGAAAGATCGAGGCGAAGGGAAGGTGTGGGGAAAAGAAGCAAGGATGGAGGTCAAGGGGACTAAAGGGTAACATTACCAGTTTTCATTGGTGAAACGTTCCCCCCCCCCCCCCCCATCTCGAATCTCCATAGGTGTGTGCGATACTCAAGCCGCGTGCACAATTTTTCAGCAGGAGCTTGCGTGCACTGACGTGGCTCATTGTTCATATACCTTACTCCCACGCAGAGTATCCAATTTAATAGCCAGAATTAACGTGCAGTTTATTACTATTCTTCTTGCTGATCATGAAGGTCAGCCAAGATGAATACTCGTGGAGGAACAGGCAATATTGAAACCTAAGCCTACTGGCTGTTGAAGATACGTAAAGGATCTTGGTGGTGCTGCGTTCTGTGCCAGTGACGCCGCACTCCGAAAGGAAGCGTCTCATTCATTAGGCTGAAGACCCACGCATGCAGATCTCGGCGTCGTACGTGTAACGTATCTCCAAAACCTCATGCGTTTCAGTAGTAATTGGATTGTCAACTAGTGTACTCGCCGTATTCTTTGTACTGCAAGGAATTCGGTTGTGTTGTGAAAGTACACTTTACTGAGCAGAGGCTTAGCCATTGAACATTTTGGTCTGTACTGGCTTGACGGCAGTATTTGCAGTCACAATCACTCAACCATATGGAGTATTAGAAAAAGTACATATTTTATAAATAGTCCTGTGTAGACGCAGAGGCTACCCCGTGCCATCTAGCCATTCCCCATGGGGAACGACAGGTAACCCTTTCGAGGGTGCACTGGACGCCCAGGATTTGGTCTTGAAGGTTGGCGTATTAGCATGTAACCACGATGATCTAATATTCTTATTTCTCAGCCACATTATCAACCAGCGTTCACATCTGTAAATGAACCAGCTAAAGGCACTAACGCGCCGCTTGTCCTAATTTTTCTCTTGTTCTCTTGCACTACAGGCTCACTGCTGGAATGAAGGCTACGGCTGCAAGTACGTAGGCCCCATTGAAGCTCTGGTGCTGCACTACGACAAGGAATGCACCTTTCATGCCATCCAGTGTCAACGTTGCGAACAACGTATATTGCGCACAAACATCGCTGCGCACTATGAGGCAGGGTGCCCCTTGAATGCCAGTTGTCCAAGTTATGCAGAGCTTAATGGGCGAACCGGACTATCAGCCAGTTCAAACACCATCAACAGCGCAATCAGCAGCTTCGAGAATAGTATTCAACGCAGAATAGAACAAATTGAGGCGAACATCTGCTCGAAGATGACTCAGCAACTGAATACCAGACTTCAAGAGTTGAAGGCCCTCATCAGAGATCCTTGCGGTGATCAGCTGTCCTCAGTTCAGAGCCAAATGAATGCACTTGTAGAACAAGCGAGGAATAATGATGCTTCCCAATTGAGGAAAATTGTAAGTGCACTCAAAGACTCGGAAAATATGTTGAAGGGAGATGTTAACAGAGTTGAAGCGAATCTGTCATCGAGTCTTGCGAATCAAGAGCGCTCTCTGCAAGTTGTGCTAGACTATGTGAAGCAGAATAATAGATCGCTCGAAAGCGACAGCTCAGGGCCTCGGCCACTTCCACCACTTCCGAAAGAACAGATTCCTGGCGCTTCGAAACACGGCTCATCCAGCGCAAACTGGAGACCTTGGCCGAGGGTTCAATGACAACCCTTGAATCCTGAAGCCTGAGGACTGAGCCGAGGAATGGCGAAGCGCCGGATTCTTCACCTTTAGAATAGCACTAAACGTTCTCGTTTGATCTCAATTGCATTAGTAAAGCCAAAGCTGATTTCGCGGAATATGTAACCAATTTTGTAACGGTGCGGTTGGACAGAGACAGTTCCTGGAATTTGTGTATGTGTAGGAATCTAAATGTTAAAATCTCCTGCATGCTCCGTAAGCTGTCGCCAAGTTGCTGCCTTAGTGCGGGTGGAGTGAGCTGGAGCTTCCGAAGTCACCTGGTTTTCGTTCACCGATCGAGCTCTACTTGTCTACGACGACAGAGCGTTCTGGCGAAGTTCTTAAATTCCAGAAGCTTATTCGAGTGATGGAATGGCTCCTCCGCAAACGTCTTTGCTTATTTTATTGTCACTTTCAAGACAAGAAAGCAAAAGCTTGCTGAAGACTTGGTCGTGAGTGTTAATTATTCTTTAAGGCACTCCCGAAGTCTCCGTATTTTGTGAGCCTGTGGTAGGCTGCATAAGATCAGCTACATGTTAAAATTTTGGAGCTAGAGATAAGGCCAAATATGCGCACGCATTGGGAATCTCCATCGAACCGCCACTGTATGGCGCACCCTTGAAAACTGCAATAACTTGATGAATAAGAATATTGGCCACGAGCATCGGAGAACGCCTTTGTTTGACCAGCCCGTATATGTAGGAAGTCCAAGAAATGGGTCCATATTACACTGTTGCGTGTCGACCATGACATAGTGAACGAGTTCTTCCGGTAAGCACTCTGACAAGTGAAAGGCTTTCAGCTTTATTGTGAGCCTGTGTAATGGAATATTTTATCTGATATATAGTATGCATACATTTCGACCCATTAGGAGAGAGTATAAGCGTAAGGCTTTCGGGGTAGCAACTGCACCAGTGTATGAGCTGAGCAGGCGCGTCAGTGAAGTGTGTGTGTGTGTGTATTCACTCAGCGAAGTATGCTCTGCCGAGTTGCGGTGGAAGCAAATTTGCAACTGTCCACATGTGTAGGCAAGTGGAAAGTTTCTAAAGGATTAAGCAGGGTTTTCAGCACTCAGCTTGTGGTGTGATTGAGTATGGTCAAATAAAACGTTCTTGAGGGTAGCGTGTTCGTTCAGCGACGAACTTACTTTAAGAGTGTGACACTTGTTGAATTTCTTTCATGTTTCGAGTGTCAGGTAGCTAATGTTTCTACAAATGAGCTGCAAACTGTATTGTTTTTTTTTTGTGAATAAAAACTCACACCTATCTTGTTGAAGAAAGCATTTATGACCTTTTTTTCGTTCGGTATGTGGTGCGCCGCGGTGGTATGTGGATGCGGGGCTCGTCTGCCGAGTTTAAACTCATGGTTTTTATCTTGACCACGGTGGTCGCATGTCAATTGAAGTGAAATGGTAGGGGACCGTAAGCTGTCCGTTGCCAGCGCACGTTAAAGAACAGCAGACGATCAAAATTTTCGCTGCCCTCTGCTAAAGCGCCCCTTGTAATATAAAGGTTTCGGGATGGGAAACCCCAGATAGCATTAAGCAGTATTTGATATTATGTAAGTGAAAAAAAAAAACATTGGCAGCATATCCACAGAGTGAACGATGGAGAGTGGGCGAAGCATATGTCCGTCCATTTGTTCTTGCTTCCGTCCGACCATGCGTCTGTCTGTGTGACCGTCCATGCGTCCATCAGCCCGTCCGTGCGTGCGTCTGTTCGTGCGTCCATGCATCCGTCCCTACGTCGATCCGTTCGTGCGTCCATCCACGCATCTGTCTGTGTATCCGTTCGTCCATCTATTCAACGCTCCAAGTACCACCATCTCGCAAAATCGGAAAACGCGCCAGCACAGCGAGTTTTCAGCTCACCACAGAAGCATAGTTTGTTGCGAAAATATAGCTGGGAGCCATGTTTCAAGACAGGTAGAGGCACACATAGGCCAAAAAACACACTAATAGTGGCAGCCAAGTACTGGTATCCAATCATGTAGGAGAAAATAAATAACAGGGAGTGCCCCTTGCGTCCAGAAGCCAAGCGCCTTCGAAGCTGCTCGCATCTCGCGTTCGTGTCATTCGCACTTACAAAAAACAAAAACAAAAAAACGCTTGTGCAGAAAGCCCGCATTGCAACCCCTTCGGACGCTGCTTCACCATTGTTCTTCATGCGCTGGTCGAAAATCCTAGCGTGCTCATGATTCATTTTTTCATTATACCGAGAAGAGGTTGACGTACGATGCACGTCATCCCTTCATTCTAATTTTCGCAGCCAGTGCAAATGATGACTTCTTTAGAAATTAACCAATGGGCTCAGGGGCGAGAGGATACGGCGAGATTTTCAACCATCCTTTAAGGGGGGCCATGAGCAAGCCTTTGCTCTCCACCCGTCTAGTTTCTGTAAATTTTTAATTTTCAAAGTGCTACTCTCATGAACTGTAGCGCAAGATATTTTTAATTAAAATGACTGGCAGGAGTTGATACTTGTGATTACCGTGTCACGATGCTGTATATCTGGTCACTAAGGTGGTAGTTATAGCGCGAGAAGAGAACGACGACAAAGAGAAAAGAAGGACACGGAGGACACGAGCGCTCGTGTCCTTCTTGTCTTTTTGCCGTTGCTCTGTTGTAGCGCTGTAACTATCGTCACGTCATACCAATTGGCCCAAGCTGTCCCACTTCACGTCGCTAAGGGTTGGTGTTGGCTCCAATGTAACTGTTCGAGGCAATATTACCTAGAGATGTCATAATCTGTAGGGAGTGACATAGAAGTACTGAGTTACCGTATCTACTGAATTGTAATGTGCGTTTTCTGTCTTTTTTGTTTGTTGAGAATTCCACTACCCAGAGCAGACTCTTCCATTTTGATCAAATACAAATGTTCCGTTTTTTTTTCTTTCTGATTTTATTAAAATGTATGCGCTTGCCGTTGTTTACTTCTCATCCGTGTTCGACATGGAGGTGAAAATGCTGTACGCCTGTGTGCTCAGATTTGGGTGCACGTTAAAGAACGCCAGGTAGTCCGAAATTCCGGAGCCCTCCACTGCAGCATCCCTCATAATCATACGGTGGTTATGGTACGTTAAACCCCACAAATCAATCATCAATAACCATCACCCGTGTTTCACGCTTCGATCACGAATCACTGACTAGCCCGATCATTCACTTTCGTCCCCCATCACGTTGCATTCATGGTGACGTTACAACCGTACAAATACGGTACTTCTTAGCCCTTTTTTTTTTCGCCCCGCGAGTACTGCGTGTTATTTCTTCCGTAGCAATTCGTAGAGTTATTTCTTTCGTAGCAGCCATCACAAAACTATGCTTGCAATGTGATAGATTAGCGTGAAAAATGGAATAGTTAATACGCAGGTCCAAGCGCCACCAGGGGACCTCGTCCTTCCGCGAAGTTCGCGAATAGTGCAACTCAAAACGAACCGAATTGAATACAAATAATGAAGTGGTCATACAGAGTTTGATAGAAATTGGTATCGAAGGCTATTCAAATCGTTTTCAATTAGTAGGCCAGCAACTTTTAATGGCAGCCCGAGAATTTTACAACTGTTTCTTTTATTTCAAACAAATATGCAGAAGTGTTCACAAAGTAATATTTGTATTGCTTTTATCTAACAAAATAGGCAAACGGACGTGAGTTTGTATAGAAGAGCACCTTTAGTTTTTGGATATTTTTTTATCAGTACGTCGACTACAACAGTTACTTCGCTATTCAAGGCAGTACTCTGTCTTCTGCTTCCAAATGACATTAAACCAAGGGGGTCAGTTATATTACACAAATATTATTTTAAATTTCAATTTAATGGAAGTGGTTTGAGTAGACATCCACTTCGGCGACACTCTAGTTTAAAGCAAACAGTGCTTCAGGCAGTCAGGTGTTGACTTTGTAAAGTGACATACGAGCTTGACCTACATAAATCTTAATTATTTACTAATTAAAATAAAATTAATCGTCTTTCGTTCATCTAATCTCTTGTGTCTTTGGGGTTGTCCTCTCGGTGCTGATTATTAAAAAAATACTTAGTAGTTCGAGTGTTCACTATTGGTGTTGATAGATGGTGTTGATAAAGACGTGGATGAAGGTGGCGACGAATAAAACTTTGAATGTTAAAAAATATTTGCTATCTTCTGCCGAGTTTCCAGCGCTTTCAGAATGCAGTTCCCACGCAATTGCGTTTTGCATGTGAAGGCGAAGCTCAAAGTGGCCTTAAAGTGTTTTTTTTTTATTTCGCTACACCTCACCCCTTGCAACCATCAGCCAGGGTCCCCGTGTCGTGCTACCCATTTTCACGCTCTCACTGACCACCTGCAACTTCTGCTCATAAAGACACGTGCCCAGGTCCTTCTTTTTCTCTATCTTAATTAGGAATCGATGGTTTGTTGTTTTACTCACTCTTCTCTCATACCTCTAATAATCACGCCTATAATTTTCTTGAAGTGAACCTATTCTCTGTTCGTTTTTTCCGGCTATCTCTCTCGTTAACCTCCCGGCCTTTCTTATCTATTTATCTCGAAAAGAATACAGAACAAAGTGAAATGCTCTGCGCCACCTATTTTAAATGGATGCTAACAAATACTGTTGCTTCTTGTAGAGCCCACAAGGCGGCGCTAGCCTACCAAAGCCAATGTGAGCAGCTTGGTTTGCTTTTCGAAATGATGGTGGGGTAAGGCGACCAGCTTGAAAGCGTGTATTAACAGTTATGAGGTCACCATTATGAGGTCACTCTAAAGTCACATCACGACAATTCACATGATTACATCATTGCATCACAACCTCACTTTGGCAATGGGGGGCTGATTAGTGAGCCAGTGGACAATCACTTAATTTGCAGACAAGAATGCTATCTATCCTATGCGTGAGGGAGAGCACAATCAGTTTGGGTCCAGAAAGCTCACGGTGGGTAGCGGGGCAGGTTCATTACATTGACTGAGAAGAAGAAGAAGAAGAAGAAGAAGAAGAAGAAGAAGAAGAAGAAGAAGAAGAAGAAGAAGAAGAAGAAGAAGAAGAAGAAGAAGAAGAAGAAGAAGAGAAGAAGAAGAACAATAAGAAAGAAGAAGAAGAAAAGAAGAAGAAGAAGAAGAAGAATGACAGAAGAAGAAGAAGAAAGAAGAAGAAGAAGAAGAAGGAAGAAGAAGAAGAAAGAAGAAGAAGAAAGGAAAGAAAGAAAAGAAAGCAAGAAAGAAGTAAGGAGGAGGGAGGGAGGAGAGGAGGAGGAGGAGGAGGAGGAGGAGGAGAGAAGGAGAAGAAGGAGAGGAGGAGAGGAGGAGGAGGAGGAGAAGGAGAAGAAGGAGAAGAAGGAGAAGAAGGAGAAGAAGGAGAAGAAGGAGAAGAAGAAGAAGAAGAAGAAGAAGAAGAAGGAGGAGGAGGAGGAGGAGGATGAGAAGTAGGATGAGGAGGAGGAGGATGAGTAGGATGAGGAGGAGGAGGATGAGGAGGAGGAGGATGAGGAGGAGACGGAGGAGAAGGAGAGGGAGAGAGAAGGAGACGGAGGAGAAGGAGAAGGAGAAGATGGAGAAGGAGAAGGAGGAGAAGGAGGAGAAGGGCATGGAGATGGAGAAGGAGGAGAAGGGCATGGAGATGGAGAATATGAAGGAGGAGAAGGAGGAGCAGAAGGAGATGGAGGAGAAGGATAAGGAGGAGAAGGAGATGGAGGAGAAGGATAAGGAGGAGAAGGAGATGGAGGAGAAGGATAAGGAGGAGAAGGAGATGGAGAAGGAGGGGGAAGTAGTTGAAGAAGGAGATGGAGATGGAGAAGGAGGGGGAAGTAGTTGAAGAAGGAGATGGAGATGGAGAAGGAGATGGAGATGGAGAAGGAGAAGAAAGGGATAGAGAAGGAGATGGAGATGGAGAAGGAGATGGAGAAGGAGAAGAAAGGGATAGAGAAGGAGATGGAGATGGAGAAGGAGATGGAGAAGGAGAAGAAAGGGATAGAGAAGGAGATGGAGATAGAGAAGGAGAAGAAAGGGATGGAGAAGGAGATGGAGAAGATGGAGGAGAAGGAGAAAAAGATGGAGATTGTGATGGTTACGGACGTTCGTCACTATGTTTTTGATAGCGGACGAGAAAGGATTAACGTGAACAATTTATTTGATGGCACGGGTGGAACGGCTGACGGCGCACGGATACGCTACCGTGTGCAGCGCCGTTGTGTCGGACGTCGTGGCCAACCCAGCAGTCAGGGTCGCAACTCCGGAGGTCCAGGATCAGGCCACGGCTCATGAGGACCACACCCGGTAGGTCTCGCCCACGAACCTGCTCCCGGCCACTGTACCCAGGTAGGAGCCGTTCAGCAGGCCCCGTCCTTGGACCTTGTACAGGCCGACGGACTCGACCCCGAACAGACACACCGGAGCTCGACCTGGCCGACACGTACGGGTCCCACGTCCGGCTCAGGAACACTGCCAGGAACTCGTTCTCTCGAGCGGTGCACCACTTCGTCTGGCTTCGTGGCCTCAACCCTTGAGCTCTTTTTCCCGCGTTCCTTCTACTTGGCCAGGGCACCGCCAGGTACCCTCGGGTGCACACTGCAGCTCATCAGCTCGCGGCCCACGTCCGAGTCTGGCGCGTCGCTTGGTACGGCTCGGCGATCCTCGATTCAGCCAGAACTCCCCTGGCACCTGGATCCTCGGCCACCCTGAACCTCGCCCGGCTCCGTGGTCCTCCGAACACACGCCCGCGTCTCGCCGGCAGAACGTCTCGCTCGTCCCTTGCCGATGTGCGACGCTCTGGTGACACCAGCGCTTGATGGCGTGGGTGCGGCTACGGAGGAGTCAGCCCGCATCGGAGACGCGATGCTCCATGCGGGAAATGGCCAGCCCGTCCAGCGAACAGCTTGCGTTAAGACGCGATGCTCGTCGCAATCGTGACCATTAGCCAGGCCACGTTCATCACTGTGCTGAACAGCTGACCGTGAAGACGCCTCGCCGAGATCCGCGATGCCCTCGGCAAGGAAGAGAACAGCAGGCCAGGCAGCAGCGTGGACGGCCGCGTTCCCCGACCGGAACCTGGATCGCCTGCGTCCGACGCTTCGGCCCGCTGTCTTCCGTCTGCTGCTGCTCCAGCTCGTCCCCAGCCACAAAGCTTACTGCCACGTAATGGTCACACGTGGCCCAATCGTGGCAGGCCACCTCTATGGGCCACCACAGGTCGTCAGCTCATTCGCTGACACTCACGCGCACATCACACGCGCCTTGCCCCGCACTTCTGTCGTTGTCGTTTTCTTCACTCATCACAGAGATAGAGAAGGAGATGAAGAAGATGGAGAAGGAGGGAGATGGAGAAGGAGGGCGATGGCGGAGAAGGAGAAGGAGATGGAGAAGGAGGTGGATAAGGAGGTGGAGAAGGAGATGGAGAAGAAGATGGAGATGGAGAAGGAGATGGAGATGGAGAAGGAGATGAAGAAGTGGAGAAGATGGAGATGAACACGGAGAAGGAGATGGAGAAGGAGATGGAGATGGAGAAGAAGGAGAAGGAGAGGGAGAAGGAGATGGAGGAGAAGGAGATGGAGAAGAAGGAGATAGAGATGGAGAAGGAGATCGAGATGGTGAAGGAGATAGAGAAGATGGAGAAGGAGAGGGAGATGGAGAATGAGATGGAGAAGGAGATGGAGAAGGAGATGGAGAAGGAGATGAAGATGGAGAAGGAGATGAAGATGGAGAAGGAGATGGAGATGGAGAAGATGGAGATGGAGATGGAGAACGAGAAGGAGATGGAGAAGGTTGAGAAGGAGATGGAGAAGGAGATGGAGATGGAGAAGGAGATGAAGGAGAAGGAGGTGGAGATGGAGAAGGAGATAGAAGAGGAGAAGGAGAAAGAGGTGGATCTTCTCCATCTCCTTCTCCATCTCTCTTCTGTTCTGTTCTGTTCTGTTTTAACTGTTTCGCTGTGGAGAGGTTGAGGTGCCTATTGCCTCGGCTACTCCATATCACAAAGTTCTGCAGCGAAAAATAAAACATAAATACAGAACGGCACCCAAAAATGAACAATACGGAAAAGAAAAAAAACACATACTAGCACACTGAAACCGGTTCAAATAACATGCCAATACACAGTTTGCTTCACGCAGTTCGCACAGTCAAGCTACTTACACGCGCACCTTACTACTCTAATGCTAGTATATACATGACCACAATTTACATAATACCCATCTCTGGCTGTCAGTCATAGGCGCTTGTCCAGTCCGGTCTCCACTAAAAAGTCTGTCAGGAAGATTATTGCCTTTTTCTGAAGATGCATCTCAGGCCATGGTCCAAGTAGTTTCTTTATTGTGAGGGGCCGTCTGTCCAAACTTGCTAATTTGTTCTTTAATTTTTCTCTTTCCTTCGATTATTTCACGCACTCCAAAAGGATATGGCGAACATTTTCTTTTGCATGACCACAATGGCATTCCGGTGAGTTGGATCGATGTATCTTGTGCAGGAAGCTGTTTGTGTATGCTACTTCCAATCTAAGTCGGTGGATCAATGTCTCTAGGTGTCGTGGGAGGTCTGTCGCTATGGAAAATTTTCTGTGTGGATCAACTTCATAAAGTACCGTTTCCTTTGAATTAGGGCTCTCAAACCACTTCTCCATCAAACAATGGTTAGCTCCTTGCTATATAAAATGTCGAATATCCGTCCCAGACATAGGGATTGTGCAATCCCGTCCTTCCTTCAATGCTTTCTTCGCGAGACTATCAGCATCTTCATTTCCCCTTATTCCAATGTGGCTGGGTATCCATTGGAATACGATGTTGTGATCCTGCGATGAGGCATATTCCACAGTTTCTGCGATACATTGTGCTATTTCATCATTTTTGTAAGGTGATCTCACATTTCTGATTAGCTGAAGAGCAGATTTGCTATCAGTGCATATCACCAATTTTCGTGGCTCGGGATTCTCGCAGATAAGCTTAACTGCTTCAAAGATAGCCACCAATTCTGCTGTCGTCGATGAAGATTTTTGCGATAATTCGTACATCTTCTTTTCTGAATTTCGGGTATAAAGACCGCACAGGCTGATGCTTCTTCTGTGCATGATCCATCTGTATATATCTTCGTTTTTTCATTATGCATTACATGAAGCTGATGAAGTACCAACTGTGCCGCTACTAGAGGTGCTATGTCTGCTTTCTTCTCTATACCGTCTATTTCACGGATGACGTTGAGAAGTGGCAGCGTCCAAGGTGGTTTTGAATGTTTCCATTGTTTAAATTCTGGTACTACTGCTTGAAATGATGATATAGTATCCTGTAGTCTCGTTGCCGTTTTTTGTGTTAGTGCACCAGATAAAAAATGACTTTCATGTTGCGTGAAAATTCTAAATAAATTTCGAGATGTTTCTTTAGTTCGGAGTACTGCCAAAGGTGGCTCTCGAGCCTCCGCATACACTAAAGCACTGGAAGTTGACCGTGGTAAACCCAGACATACCCTCAAGCTCCTTGCCAATAACAAGTGAAGTCTCCTTTCGGTGGAGGATGGGAGTCCATGCAGCAGGGGCAGTGAGTAATTCACGATGGGGCGTATCCAGGCAACATGTAGGGCTAATAACGACTCTGTAGTACCACCCCATTTGGCCCCGCATAGATGCCGGAGGATTCGAATGGCCTGAATCACTTTTTGTTCCAGGGACTGTACATGAGGCGACCATGTTAGTCTCCGGTCTAAAATTACTCCCAAGAATTTATGAGTTTTAACCATTTTAATAGGCTGATTTTGCAGAATAATCTGGAAATTTCAGGTCTTTTTAATGTAAACGGAAGTATGGCTGTTTTAGCCAGACTCAGTGCCATACCTCTTTTTTTAGAAAATGGTCTACATAATCCCATTCTTCTTGTAGAGTTTGTTGTATATCCAAAAACGATGGACCAGACGTCCATATACTTATATCATCAGCATATACTGAACATCTGATGTTGGGTGGAAGATTATACGGGAGCTGCGCCATGACTGCATTAAAGAGAGTAGGGCTTAGTACGCTGCCCTGTGGCACTCCATGGTTGACGACATGTTCTGACGTTGGGCCCTCCTGCGTAACTACAAAAATTTTCCGGTGCTTCAGGAAGTCAGCAATCCAACGCAGTATCTTGCCCTTGAATCCCTGTAATGCCAGGCCTTCCAGAACGTGAACGTGATTCACTGTGTCGTATACTCGGTGGACATCAAGGAATACAGCGACAGTGATGTTTCCTTGCGTTCGTTGGTTTTCCACATCTGTGACCAAATCCAGAATGCAGTCCATTGTGCATCTACCTCCATCTCCATCTCCTTCTCCATCTCCATTTCCATCTCCTCCATTTCCATCTCCATCTCCATCTCCATCTCCTTCTCCATCTTCTCCATCTCCATCTCCTTCTCCATCTCCATCTCCTTCCCTTCCTTCTCCTTCTCCTCCTTCTCCTTCTCCTCCATCTCCTTCTCCATCTCTTTCTCCATCTCCTTCTCCTTCTCCATCTTTTCCATCTCCTTCTCCATCTTCTCCATCTTCTTCTCCATCTCCATCTCCATCTTCTCCATCTCCATCTCCATCTCCTTCTCCATCTCCTTCTGCATCTCTATCTCCTTCTTCATCTCCTTCTTTATATCCTTCTCCTTCTCCATCTCCATCTCCTTCTCCTTCTTCTCCATCTCCATCTCCTTCTCCTCCTTTCCTTCTCCATCTTCATCTCCTTCTCCATCTCCTTTTCCTTCTCCATCTCCTTCTCCATCTTCTCCATCTCCTTCTCCATCTCCATCTCTTTCTCCATCTCCTTCTCCTCCATATTCTCCATCCCCATCTCCTTCTCCATCTCCTTCTCCATCTTCTCCATCTTCATCTCGATCTCCTCAAACTCCTTCTCCATCTCCTTCTCCATCTCCTTCTCCATCTCCTTCTCCTTCTCCATCTCTTTCTCCTTCTCATTCTCCATCACCATCTCCTTCTCTATCTTCATCTCCATCTCCTTCTCCATGTCCTTTTCCATCTTCTCCATCTCCTTCTCGTTCTCCTCTATCTCCATCTCCTCCATCTCCATCTCCTTCTCCATCTCCATCTCCTTCATCTCTGTCTCCATCTCCATCTCCATCTCCTTCTCCATCTCTATCTCTGTAACATAATAGCCACCGCAACACGTGCTGATATGTGATGTGTGATATGTGATATGCATCGTGTTACGTCAGCACCAGGTTGCTATAAAAGATGAGTGCGTAGGAAATAAAGGCCAGTGTCTTTCCATGGTATCAAGTGTGCTGTTCTTCCGTCAGCTGCTCTCCGCGAGTGTGCTATGACAGTGGCGACGAGGATGGAAGTGTGATCTGCTGGTGCCACCTGGAACTTCCCTGTAAGGCTGTGTTCTCTACCGTGTGTAGAATGCCTGGTGTCGGCAAGCTTGAGCCGTTCGACGTGGGAACAACCAGCTGGGATGAGTATCAAGAGCGGGTAGAACAATTTTTCATAGCCAATGACGTCGAAGATGAAAAAAAGCGAGCAGTACTTCTCACCTGTTTGGGACCGGCCACGTATTCATTACTGCGGAACCTGCTGTCACCGTCGAAGCCGTCAGAAACAAGCCTGTCCACGATCCTTGACGTACTGAAGAAGCATTTTTCGCCGAGACCATTGGAAGTGGTTGCAACGTTCAAGTTTAATTAAAGAATACGTCATTCTGGTGAAACGGCTGGGGATTTCTTCGCTAGCCTGAACAAACTTGCTGACGATTGTGCTTTCGGCTCGTTTCGAGACAGAATGCTTCGTGACCGCATCGTGGCAGGCATCAACGACGAGACAATGCAGCGACGACTGTTGGAGTCACCAGATTTGACTCTTGATACCGCAAAGAAGACAGTTATCGCGATCGAAGCGGCGAACAAAGATTCTCGCTCGCTGTCAACAGCCATGCCAATGACTGTTGCGCCGACGAATGCCGTGTCGCGTGATACAGGAAAGCAGAAGCATAAACCAGTTTCATGTTTCCACTGCGGAGGCGAGCATCTAGCGACGCAGTGTCGACATGCAAGTAGCGTCTGTCACAGGTGTCGAAGCAAGGGGCACCTGGCGCGAATATGCAAGGGTAAGGCAGTTACAGTTACGAGCGCAGGTGGTTCAGCGTTTTTGTCCCGGAAGCATCAGTCAATCCATACCGTAGACGACGAAGCAAGCCGTTCTGAGATACCGGCACCGCAAGTCTACGAAATGTGGCAAGTGCGCGCACCGGATCACGACGGTAGCCCGTACCGGGTTGAGGTGTCCGTGAATGGAACTTCACTCATTATGGAAATTGACACGGGAGCAAGTGTGTCTGTCGCGTCGGAAGAGACCTTTCGCCGCATATTTCCGTCTTGTCGTCTGGAACTGTCAAGCGTCATGCTGAAAGGTTACACCAGTGAGCTGTCCGCAGTGCAAGGCAGCCTGCCTGCGACTGTACGACTGGGAAACCATGAGTGCCGGGACGTGTTGTACGTCGTCCCAGGACGCTGCCCGTCTCTTATGGGGCGTGGCTGGATAAAAGGCCTCGGAATCGAGCTGCGCATTGTGATGGACGTTAAGGCTATCACGTCGGTTGAGGGACTCGTCGCTGAGTATGCGAGTGTTTTCGACGACGCCTAGGGGAACATTCAAGGGAGTGTCCACGAAAATAACCATCGAAGACAACGCGAAGCCGCGGTTCTTCAAGGCTCGCCCTGTTCCGTTCGCAATTATCGACCGCGTCAACGAGGAACTGAAGCGCATGGAACGAGTTGGAGTGCTGCGTCGAGTTAAAACTTCGGAATGGGCTGCGCCTATCGTGCCTATCTTGAAGCGGAGTGGCCAGATTCGGATATGTGGCGACTTCAAGGTCACTGTTAATCCCGTGACAGTGCCTGAAAAATACCCGATACCACGCGTTGAAGACCTGTTTTGCCGTCTTAGCGGTGGCGAGAAGTTCAGCAAATTGGACTTGAAGGATGCGTATTTGCAAGTTGAACTGGACGAGGCATCCCGCAAGCTGGTGACAATCAACACACCAAAAGGACTGTACCAATACACGCGTCTGCCTTTTGGCGTCACATCTGCTCCTTCAATTTTCCAGCGGGAGATGGAAAACCTGCTACAAGGGCTCAGACACGTTGTGGTGTACTTCGACGATGTTCTTGTGACTGGACGCGATGACCAGGACCATCTAACAAACCTGGGCCTAGTCCTAAGCCGACTGAAGCAAGCTGGGCTAGAATTGAAGCTTGACAAGTGTACCTTCCTGGAACGACAAGTTGAATACCTGGGTCACGTTGTCACGGCTGCGGGGTTTCAACCCAACCCTGAAAAGGTAGAGGCTGTGCTGAAGGCGCCTAGACCCGAAGATGTCAAGACATTACAGAGTTATCTAGGCCTAGTCAACTTCTACCGCAAGTTTCTGCCGGGGCTGTCTAGTGTGTTGCATCCCTTGAACGAGCTGCTTGTGGCCAAGGTATCGTGGGAGTGGCGTGAGGATCATGAACGTGCTTTCCAAAGGAGCAAGGAGCTACTTGTTTCAGCAGCAGTGCTGGCGCATTATGACCCCAAGAAACCCGTGGTTCTCGTATGTGATGCGTCACCGTACGGCGTTGGCGCCGTTCTGGCCCATAGAGAAGACTCGGGGGCTGAACGACCAATCGCATTTGCATCACGAAGTCTCGCGCAAGCCGAGCGAAATTACAGTCACATCGACAAGGAGGCTCTTGCGCTCATGTTTGTCGTAACCAAGTTCCGACAATACCTCTGGGGACGCGAGTTCGAGGCTATTACGCACCTTAAACCATTACTGGGCTTGCTTGCTCCCGACAAGCGCGTGCCTGAGATGTGTTCACCGCGTATCATGCGTTGGGCTCTGATGCTTGGTGCGTATAACTACAAGCTCATGTACCGGCCGGGAGCAAGCATTGCCAACGCGGATGGTTTGAGTCGCCTACCACTACCAGGGTACGCTCAACCTGTGGAAAGGCCAGCGGAAGTTGTCAAGCTGGAGGCTGCTTATCCTCGGGTGCTACGGTCGACTGTAGTCGCGGAAGCTACTTCCAAGGACCCAACCTTAGCGAAGCTACGAGAGGCCTTATGGTCTGGAGCTGAGCTACGTGACCCCGAGTTCAGGTTCTACGCAGATCGAAAACTTCAGATGAGCGTCCAAGGAGACTGTATACTTCTCGGATCGCGAGTGGTCATCCCAAGTGCATTACAGCAAGAAGTGTTGCGACTCCTTCATGAGGGGCACCCTGGAATGACCAAGATGAAGGCTATCGCAAGGAGTCACGTCTGGTGGTCTTCGTTGGACGAGGACATTACCGCTGCAGTTCGCCAGTGTCAGATCTGCCAAGAACACCAGAGGTTTGCGTGGCCGGTAGCGATGACGCCATGGTCGTTTACGGACAGACCATGGTTTCGCCTTCATATTGACTTTGCTGGACCTTTGAAGAACCGCTACTTGCTGATCGTTATCGATGCATTTTCAAAGTGGATAGAGGCCGTTCCTATATCTACACCATCGGTAGAGGCAACTATCCCATGCCTGAGGGTTATGTTTGCTACTCACGGATTGCCAGACGTAGTGGTGTCCGACAACGGACCAGCGTTCGTGAGCGAGGAATTCAAACTGTTCCTGCATCGAAATGACATCAAACAAGTATTGACACCCCCATACCATCCAGCGTCAAACGGGGCTGCAGAACGGGCAGTTCAGTGCATCAAGTCAAAGCTAAAAAAATCGGCTGGAGGGAATTTTTCATGCCAACTTGCCCGTATTCTTTTCAATTACAGGATTACTCCCCACGAAACTACCGGGTGCTCATCAGCGGAGCTGATCATGGGCCGTAAGTTAAAGACTGCTCTAACGTTGTTGCATCCAGACATGAAAGCTAAGGTCTTGCTGAAGCAGCTCAAGCAGAAGATTGTCCATGATGGTGGAGCTCGAACCACACCACCCGCAATACCCGAAGACTACATTTACGCACGGAATTTCCGTTCGGGGCCAACCTGGATGCCTGCAAGAGTGACTGACAGAGCCACCGATAACATCGCTGATGTCGTTTTGTCAGACGGTAGGTGTTGGCGGCGCCATTAAGAACACTTGCGGCCGAACTTCGCCCCATTTAGTGCGCCTCTTGGACTGCCACCTGAGCGACAGACTTCTTCACCGACGCCAGTGTTACCGCCTGTGCAACAAGCTACGTCAACCACAGAGTGCGTGTCGGAACGAGCGGGTGTGCAACCGGCTGAGAAACTAGTTCCGCTACCCAGGAAGTGTGAGTCGGAGCAATCGAGTCCAGTTGCTGAGCCGTGTCCTGAATCATGCAGCGAAAGTGGGACCGCAACACGCGATCTGGGTGTGCCTACTAGCCATGACAGTACGCCAATGCTGCGAAGAAGCACGAGGACAAAAAAACCAGTTGTGCATTTCTGACCACGAAGGCCGCTAAACTATCGTTGTTTTGTTTGTTGGTGTGGAGGAGTGTAACATAATAGCCACCGCAACACGTGCTGATATGTGATGTGTGATATGTGATATGCATCGTGTTACGTCAGCACCAGGTTGCTATAAAAGATGAGTGCGTAGGAAATAAAGGCCAGTGTCTTTCCACGGTATCAAGTGTGCTGTTCTTCCGTCAGCTGCTCTCCGCGAGTTGGCTATGACAATCTCCTTCGCCATATCCTTCTCCATGTTCATCTCCTTCTCCGTCTCCTTCTCCATCTCCTTCTCCATCTCCATCTCTACCTCCGTCTCCATCTCCTTCTCCATCTTCTCCATCTCCTTCTCCTCCTTCTCCTTCTCCTTCTCATCCTTTTCCTCCTTCTCCTTCGCCATCTCCCTCTCCTTCTCCATCTCCATCTTCTTCTCTTCTCCATCTCCTTCTCCATCTACCTCTCCATCTCTTCTCCATCTCCTTCTCTTCTCCATCTCGATCTCTTCTCCATCTCCATCTCCTCCATCTCCATCTCCTTCTCCATCTCCATCTCCTTCTTCATCTTCTTCTCCATCTCCTTCTCCATCTCCTTTTTCTCCTTCTCCATCTCCTTTCCTCCTTCTCCATCTCCTTCTCCTCCTTCTCCTTCTCCTTCACCATCTCCATCTCCTTCTCCATCTCTTTCTCCAACTCCTTCTCCATCTCCTTCTCCATCTCCTTCTCTATCTTCTTCTCCATCTCAATCCCCATCTCCATCTTCATCTCCTTCATATCTTTCTCCATCATCTACATCTCCTCCTCCATCTCCTTCTCCATCTCCTTTTCCATCTCCTTCTCCATCTCCTTCTCCTTCTCCATCCCCATCTCCTTCTCTATCTCCTTCTACATCTCCTTCTACATCTCCATCTCCATCTCCTTCTCCATCTCCATCTCCTTCTCCACCTCCTTCTCTATCTCCTTCTCCTCCATCTCCTTCTCCATCTCCATCTCCTTCTCCATCTTCTCCATCTCTTTCTCCATCTCCTTCTCCGTCTCCTTTTCCAGCTCCTCCTTCTCCAGCTCCTTCTCCTCCTTCTCCGTCTGCTTCTCCATCTCTTTCTCCATCTCCATCTCCATCTCCTTCTCCATGTCCATCTCCATCTCCTTCTTCATCTCTTTCTCCATCTCATTCTCCTTCTCCATTTTCTTCTCCATGTCTATCTCCATCTCCTTCTCCATCTCCATCTCCTTCTTCATCTTCTCGATCTCCTTCTTTATCTCCATCTCCATCTCCTTCTCCCCCTTTTCCATCTCCTTCTCCATCTCCTTCTCCATCTACTTCTTCATCTCCATCTCCTTCTCCATCTTCTTCATCTCCATCTCCTTCACCACCTCCTTCTCCATCTTCTCCATCTCCATCTCCTTCTCCTTCTTCTCCATCTCCTCTCCTCTTCTCCATCTCCTTCTCCATCTCTATCTCCTCCATCTCCATCTTCTCCATCTCCTTCTCCATCTCCATCTCCTTTTCCATCTCCTTCTCTATCTTCTCCATCTCCTTCTCCATATCCATCTTCTCTATCTCTTTCTCCATCTCCTTCTCCATCTCCTTGTCCATCTCCTTCTCCACCTCCTTCTCCATCTCCTTCTCCATATCCATCTTCTCTATCTCTTTCTCCATCTCCTTCTCCATCTCCTTGTCCATCTCCTTCTCCACCTCCTTCTCCATCTCCTTCTCCATCTCCTTCTCCATCCCCATCTCCTTCTCCATCTCCTTCTCCATCTTCTCCCCCTTCTCCATCTCCTTCTTTATCTCCATCTCTATGTCCTTCTCCATCTCCGTCTCCTTCTCCATCTTCTCCATCTCCTTCTTCATCTCCTTCTCCATCTCCTCCATCTCCATGTCCTTCTCCATCTTCTCCATCTCCTTCTCCTCCTTTTCCATCTCCTTCCCCTCCTTCTCCTTCTCCATCTCTATCTCCTTCTCCATCTCCATCTCCTTCTTCATCCCCATCTCCATCTCTATCTCCTCGATCTCCATCTCCTCCGTCTCCATCTTTTTCTCCTCCTCCTTCTCCTCCTCCTTCTCCTCCTTCTCCTCCTCCTTCTGCTTCTTCTCCTTCTCCTTCTTCTTCTTCTTCTTCTCAGTCAATGTAATGAACATGCCTCGCTACCCATCATGAGCTTTCTGGACTCAAATTGGTTGTGCCCTCCCTCACGCATAGGATAGATTGCATTCTTGTCTGCAAATTAAGTGATTTTCCACTGGCTCCCTAATCAGCCCACCATTGCCAAAGTGAGGTTGTGATGCAATGATGTAATCATGTGAATTGTCGTGATGTGACTTTAGAGTGACCTCATAATGACGCTACGTACGTTGGCGATGTGTGATGTCATATGACTTTATCACGTTAATATTTTTGCCCTATTCGTGTTTTCGTAGACTTTCCTGACTCGGAACACCGATATGGTGCACCGACGTTTTGGCCAACATTTGCATTTGATGAGGCATGCAAGCGTTCTGCCGTAAAAACAATAACCCGGACTCCAAACTCCTATACAGCTAAAATTTTACATTACTGTAAAGCGTGCTTCACTACAAAGTTTAGTTTTATAAGGAGAAGCAACCTAACAATACGATTACAAGTAGCGAAAAAAAAAGAAACACACAGCACACCAGAAAGACAAACAAAGTACAAGTTCTTGTGAGTTTATGTTACTTTACAGTTTGCTGTCTTTTTTGCGTTAATTTTCGACAATATGCACCACAGAGAGAGAGAGAGAGAGAGAAACTTTATTTGCGCATAATGTGTAGCATAGTCGGGCCTCTATTTCAGGGCTCCACTTGCCCTAGCCATCATCTCTACCCATTAGGCCAGCCAAAGTTGATCAGCAATAGCCGAGCTGGACAGCAGTATCTCTCATTGTTCCTGAGTGTTGTTCATGTTGTGGTGTTGTTCATTGTGATGTGTACACTCCCACGTCACGTGAAACAGAGTTAGTGTGACTCGCCCCATGGACATATATCTGTATGCTGTAGGGTAGAATACATGTAATGTGTGCAAGTTTGTGCATGTGTTTGTTTGGATTCTGCCTAATGCCACACATTCCATTGCTGTGAGGTTCTTATGCGGTGCTGGGTACTGTTTCCTATTGTCCCTGTAATACTGAAAAATTGTACCAAAGTTGGGGTTTAGGGGCGTTGGATCTTCTATTGCAGAGTGCAAGGAAGCTCGGTGAATTTTGAAGCCTCGAGCCACCTCGTCCGCAAACTGCTTCCCGGTGACGCCCTTGTGCATTGACTCCCAGATAATGGTTTGGGTGCACTCAATTGGGAAGTCTTTGTGAGCTTTGGTTAGAATTTGGAGTGCCTTCATACATATTCTACCCTTTTACAAGTTTCTACATGCCGCTTTAAAATACGCGATTATTGTCTGTGGAGCTTTTCCCTCCCTGCCCTCATTGATTGCCAGTGTGATCGCTATCTCCTCCGCTTCTGTGATGGAGGCTTGGGCTATGGAGGCACAACTTGTAACGTTTCTTTTTCGGTCTGTGACCACAGCCACTATGTTCTTTGCATTTGTCTGATATGATGCAGCGTCTGTAAATCTCGCCGTTTACAAATATTTCGCCGCTTTATTTATGTAAGCGGCTCTTCCTTTACGTCTTTCAGCATGTAGAACTTGGTCCACGTTCTTCTGTAGGGGACATATCTTTTACCAAGCTCTGACTGAGCACGACAATTCCTTAGCTCTTCTATGTGCCTGTACTTGTTCGCCGAGGCCGATCCTCTGAAGAAATTCTCTGCCGGTTGGCGTCTGTAACAGGCGGTTAATCTAGGTAGTTACTTGCGCTTCTGCCAACTCATCAAATGTATTGTGAAGTCCGAGCGCTACTAGCTTCGCAGTTGAAGTACTTTGTGGCAGTCGCAGAGCCGCTTTACAAGCCATCTTTATTATTTTGTCTGCTTTTTTCTTTCTCCTCTCTATTCATGTTGTGTTAGGGTAGCGAGTATGTTATTCTGCTGATGACTAAGCTCTTCCCTAAACGAAACACGTTTCGCTCTTTCAGTCCAGCTCAATATGCACCAACTAGGCCCTTAAAGTCTTTTTAAAAACATGTTTTTGTTCTTCAATTCATACGTGGTCTTGATTTGTTTTGATTAGAAAGCAGCTTGACAGGCCACCCTGTCGTCGTCCCATCTCTCGCTTCGGGGGCTTGGAACGCGTAACACGAGCTGGCTGCACGTCTCGGATGCCAGCGCCAACTTGTCCGTGAACGCCAGTGTCACCCAGAGCTGATTCGTCTGTACGAGCCAGCGAAGCGGCAGCGTAACGCCGGTATCAGGAGTTAGACGCTGATCTACGCAAGAGACCGGCTGAGGTGAATCACTAGCTGCTACGACTTAGACGCCCTGCTCCTGCAGCAGCGAGGAGTACATAAACATCAACAACAAAAAAATAAAATACAAAGGAAAAATTAGAGAGAAAGAAAGAAGAAAGAGAGGTGGAGGGGTTTATTTACAGAAAGGCTAAGATATCCATTTGAGTGGTGGTATTCTCTAGCCTACTACTCTACAGGGGGGGGGGGGAGTGAAGGGGAAAAAAGAGTGATGGATGACGATGGCGACTAATGAGGAAAGCATATAGAGTCCTTTAAAACTAAGATAATGTTACATCCATGCATATAAAAACTAGATAGCCACGAAACAAAACAGATAATCACAACGAAAGAAAAAAAAACGGTATCAAGTATCCCTAAACACGAAAAGAAGCTCTACCAAAAATGTGTAAGCAAGTACGTGTGCCTTATTCGTTGATGTGGAGTCGCACCCCTAGGCGTAAACGTTGTTGCATCAATGAGTAAAGTGCTATAGCCCGCCAAACACCATCAGACATTGCGCAAGCTCTCCGCATATCAATTCAAAACAAACAATTCACTACATTGGTAGTGAGATGGTTGATTTGAGTTGTGACGGTTGATTGATTGATTGATTGATTGATTGATTGATTGATTGATTGATTGATTGATTGATTGATTGATTGATTGATTGATTGATTGATTGAGTGAGTGAGTGAGTGAGTGAGTGAGTGAGTGAGTGATACGAAGCGGTTGATACCACCTCGTATATCAGAGAGATTTAACATGTTTTTTCCCTCCCTGTTTAGCAGGGTACATTTGAATGTTGCCACCAAAACTGTTAATACACGCTTTCAAGCTGGTCGCCTTACCCCACCATCATTTCGAAAAGCAAACCGAGCTGCTCACATTGGCTTCGGTAGGCTAGCGCCGCCTTGTGGGCTCACAAGAAGCAACAGTATTTGTTAGCATTCATTTAAAATAGGTGGCGCAGAGCATTTCACTTTGTTCTGTATTCTTTTTGAGATAAACAGATAAGAAAGGCCGGGAGGTTAACGAGAGAGATAGCCGGAAAAAACGAACAGAGGATAGGTGCACTTCAGGAAAATAATAGGCTTGATTATTAGAAGTATGAGAGAAGAGTGAGTGAAATAACAAACCATTGATTCCTAATTAAGATAGAGAAAAAGGAGGACCTGGGCACGTGTCTTTATGAGCAGAAGTTACAGGTGGTCAGTGAGAGCGTAAAAATGGGTAGCACGACACGGGGACCCTGGCTGATGGTTGCAACGGGTGAGGTGTAGCGAAATAAAAAAAAACACTTTAAGGCCACTTTGAGCTTCGCCTTCACATGCAAAACGCAATTGCGTGCGAACTGCATTCTGAAAGCGCTGGAAACTTGGCAGAAGATAGCAAATATTTTTTGAACATTCCAGGTTTTATTCGTCGCCACCTTCAACCACGTCTTTATCAACACCATCTATCAACACCAATAGTGAATACTCGAACTACTAAGTATTTTTTAATAATCAGCACCGAGAGGACAACCCCAAAGACACAAGAGATTAGATGAACGAAAGACGAAATATTTTATTTTAATTAGTAAATAATCAAGATTTATGTAGGTCAAGCTCGTATGTCACTTTACAAGTCAACACCTGACTGCCTGAAGCAGTGTTTGCTTTAAACTAGAGTGTCGCCGAAGTGGATATCTACTCAAACCACTTCCATAAAACTGAAAATTAAAATAATATTTGTGTAATATAACTGACCCCCTTGGTCTAATGTTATTTAGAAGCAGAAGACAGAGTACTACCTTGAATAGCCAAGTAACTGTTGTAGTCAACGTACTGATAAAAAAAATATCCAAGAACTAAAGGTGCTCTTCTATACAAAGTCACGTTCGTTTGCCTATTTTGTTAGATAAAAGCAATACAAATATACTTTGTGAACATTTCTGCATATTTGTTTGAAATAAA